GCTCAGGCTGAGGGAATCCGACAAGGTTGTGTCCTTAGCACTACCCAGTTTCTCTTGGCTATAAATGACCTACCTTCCATTCTTCCATCGCATATTTGGTCGTCACTTTATGTGGATGACTTCGCTATAGCTTATACAGGCGCTGACTGTGCCTGGTAGCTGCCTCCCATCAGAAATGCAACTGACCGAGTTTCCCATTGGGCCACTTCTCATGGATCTAAATTTTCTAGTGCAAAAACTCATTTCATTACCTTCACTAGGCATCGTCTTGTCTCAAATATTCCATTGTATTTACATGGCTCACGTATTCCAGTTTCTTGGCCGTCTCTTCGATCGCTGGTTGACCTGGAAACCTCACATTACCTCTTTGAAGACAGCTTGCCATGGTCGGCAGAATCTCCTTTAAATTCTTGCTCATCTTTCATAGGAAGCAGATCACCTGACTCTCCTCCATTTGCATTCCACCCTAGTCTTTTGCAAGCTGGATTATGGCGACCAAGTCTATTCTGCGGCTTTTCCTACCAATCTTAGCTGAACCTCGTGGTGCTCATTGCCTTTGTTACTTTGTCCGCTCTCATGACCTTCGTGTTCCGTCTACATATAGCTTGATCTCAGTTGTTAGTGGAAGCCCATTATTTGTTAGATGCCCCAGCTTACTCCGACCGTTTTCTCTTCATCTTCACTCCAGTCTTCTCTCCAGTTGCCTCCCTTGTTTGTTCATTTAGCGTCTGCCTTTCCCTTTTCCCCTTGGGTAGTTCTGGCGGTTATGTCTGCTCTCCCCTAGTGCCGTGCGCCAAAGCTCTCCTACTTACAACTGCTCCTCGCTCTCTTTTTCTTGATCACTTCCGGATGCATGCTCATACTGTTGCTGTTTATACAGATTGTTCTAAATCTTCTGACAGTGTTGGGATTGCGGCGATGTTCTATGACGATGTTGTCAGAGGTCATTTGTTAGACGCAGCTAGCATTTTTACTGCCGAGTTGTATGCCATCCTCATAGCGCTTCTCCATAATATAATATAAAATAATAATATATATATATATATATATATATATATATATATATATATATATATATATATATATATATATATATATATATACATATATATATATATATATATATATATATATATATATATATATATATATATATATATATATATATATATATATATATATTATATATGCAATAAGATTACAGTAAACAGATATCACTGTGAAAAAATAATGAAATTCCAAGCGTTTCGTGATTGATTTCTCACATCATAGTTCCTTGATAATGTGAGAAATCACGAATGCGCTTGGAATTTCACTATTTTTTTCACAATAGTTGCTTGTTCTGCATATATGATCAAGGTCCCAGGACCGAAACGTTTTCTACTAAATATGTTATAGTGTTTGCTTACGTGTCTTTCTAAACCAACTTGTCGGTATTTATTACCAAGGTTTATACCATATATATATATATATATATATATATATATATATATATATATATATATATATATATATAATTAACAAGTCGGCCGTCTCCCACCGAGGCAGGATGACCCAAAAAGAAAGAAAATCCCCAAAAAGAAAATACTTTCATCATCATTCAACACTTTCACCACACTCGCACATTATCACTGTTTTTGCAAGGTGCTCAGAACACAACAGTTTAGAAGCATATACGTATAAAGATACACAACATATCCCTCCAAACTGCTAATATCCCAAACCCCTCCTTTAAACTGCAGGCATTGTACTTCCCATTTCCAGGACTCAAGTCCGGCTATACAAAAATAACCGGTTTCCCTGAATCCCTTCACTAAATATTACCCTGCTCACACTCCAACAGATCGTCAGGTCCCAAATACCATTCGTCTCCATTCACTCCTATCGAACACGCTCACGCACGCTTGCTGGAAGTCCAAGCCCCTCTCCCACAAAACCTCCCTTACCCCTTCCTTCCAACCTTTTCGAGGACGACCCCTACCCCGCCTTCCTTCCTCTACAGATTTATACGCTCTCCATGTCATTCTGTTCTGATCCATTCTCTCTAAATGACCAAACCACCTCAACAATCCCTCTTCAGCTCTCTGATTAATACTTTTATTAACTTCACACCTTCTCCTAATTTCCACACTCCGAATTTTCTGCATAATATTTACACCACACATTGCCCTTAGACAGGACGTCTCCACTGCCTCCAACCGCCTCCTCGCTGCTGCGTTCACAACGCAAGCTTCACACCCGTATAAGAGTGTTGGTACTACTATACTTTCATACATTCCCTTCTTTGCCTCCATAGATAACGTTTTTTGTCTCCACATATACCTCAATGCACCACTCACCTTTTTTCCCTCATCAATTCTTTGATTAACCTCATCCTTCATAAATCCATCAGCCAAGACGTCAACTCCCAAGTATCTGAAAACATTCACTTCTTCCATACTCCTCCTCCCCAATTTGATATCCAATTTTTCTTTGTCTAAGTCATTTGATACCCTCATCACCATACTTTTTTCTATGTTCACTTTCAACTTTCTACCTTTACACACATTCCCAAACTCATGTATTTAATTCCCCATAATTTAATACCACCCCTCTCCCGAACACCCTAGCATTTACTTCTTTTACAACCCCATCTGTAAATATATTAAACATCCATGGTGACATTAAACATCCCTATCTAAGACCTACTTTTACTGGGAAGTAGTCTCCCTCTCTGCTACACACCCTAACCTGAGCCTCACTATTCTCATAAAAATTCTTTACAGCATTTAGTAACTTACCACCTATTCCACATACTTGCAACATCTGCCACATTGCTCCCCTATCCACTATCATATGCCTTTTCTAAATCCATAACTGCAATAAAAACTTCCCTACCTTTATCTAAATACTGTTCACATATATGCCTCAATGTAAACACTTGATCTACACATCCCCTACCCACTCTGAAACCTCCCTGCTCATCCGCAATCTTACGTTCTGTCTTACCTCTAATTCTTTCGTACACTTTTCCTGGTATACTCAGTAAACTTATTCCTCTATAATTTTTACAATCTCTTTTGTCCCCTTCCCTTTATATAAAGTGACTATACATGCTCTCTGCCAATCCCTACGTACCTTACCCCGTTTCATACATTTATTAAACAAAAATACCAACCACTCCAACACTATATCCCCCCTGCTTTTAACATTTCTGTCATGATCCCGTCAGTTCCAGCTGCTTTACCTTTCATTCTACGTAATAATAATAATAATAATAATAATAATAATAATATATATATTTATATATTATTGTAAACAAATCTAAAATATATTTAGTTGGGTTAGGCTAAAATAAATTGCGCTTTTATAATAAGGTTAGGTAAGTTTTCTAAGTTCCTTTTTAGTGCAAAATTATAAATTTTTACATAAACATTAATGGAAAAAAATATATCTTTAAACGTATAAGAGAAAATTTTAGAAAGGACTTAATTTTAAATGAGCTCTTGCTAATTGACCAGTTTTACATATTCGGCACGACATATATATATATATATATATATATATATATATATATATATATATATATATATATATATATATATATATATATATATATATATATTATATATAATTATTTACAAAACAACCTTGAAATAAATCGGTTCAATTTACTGTCTTTGGAAGTATTCAAAGTCTTTGGGTTTTATCTTTTGCATTTGTCTTAGTGTATGTACTCATCTCTGTCTAAGGGAGTCGTTTCATGGCGCCTTATCCCGCCATTTAATTACTGCCTACCTGGAGGGAATTCCTGGGATCACCGCCCCCGCGACCCGGTCCACGACCAGACCTCCAGGTGGATTTTAATTTCTGGCTTTCAGGGCCCATGTAAAAGATGCTTGCCTTTGCTTCTGAAGGTGATCCTGGTGTTGGCAAACCAACTCATGATTATAAATTTAAAATCTCATTCATTCACCAATCTAGAGATATCTTGTACAAATATGTCAGGAAAAACGGTACTCACAAAATAGAACATAATGAACGAATATCTAATTACAAGTTTATATCCTGTAAACAAATTTTATAACAGTTGTAACACCGAAAATTGGAGTAATAGTATAAAAAATACATCACACGGGACTCTTAGTCTCTCATCATATTCTTCTAAGTTATTTCACCGTTTTCTATGTGAGGCGAAGTTTGTTGTCTCTAATCAGTAGTTCTTGCCATGTTTTGACAATCTGTCTTTACTTAACTACACCAATTTTTTGCTACCTACATCAGTTTCTTCACTCTTCGTGAAACATGTAAATAGTATTTTCTTGACGGTAGGTAAGGATGGGTTGGTTTTAACTAAATTGCATAATTCTTAACCACAAATATGAAAATTATGAACAAGTGTCGCCATACGTAGGGTTTTGAGAATGTCCAGGAGACGTTCTGATCTATACGTTATATCTCGTAGTGCGAAAATTGATTCTGAATAGTTGTAATTTGCTTGTCCCAGTGGAAGATCTCGGTCAGATGACCTGAAGCTCAAGCGGTGGGTTATTATGTGACTAAGATCAGCATCAGGAAACACTTGTCCTGTTTCCTTACAAATCTTACCTGCCTGTCACAAGTTGGAAAGGAATTCACTACATAGGCTTGTTTGTCCTCGCTGTTGTATAGCAAGAGAGCGACCACTCATTCACAACATTTTATAATTTACTTTTCACTGGAGATCCTCTTACAAAATCTTTTATTCAGATTTCGCATCGTATGTACCTTATCAGTTTTGATCATGACTCGTAATAAAAGACCCAGAATATTACCCGACAAAAGACACGATGCCTAAAGTTGTCACGTTCCTCTCCAGCCGGTGGTAGTTATTCTAGTAAGTGAAACTGTGATAGTCGAGGAATAAAACAAACATTGGACGTAGCTATGTAGATAGCGCAGATTAAACTGTTATTAGTAGTTAGAGTAGACACAGACGGTCGTGGTAGCAAGTCACTGACACAGATTCTCTGTCGTCTCAGCGGGGAGACGTCTGCGGAGAACATGGAGGCGACACTAGCGATGATCGAGGAGAAGTCACAGCGGGTGCTGACGCGGAGCCATCACGCCAGGCTGAGGGAGGCGGTGAGTGACTACGCTGCCGGCAGGGCTCCCATTCAACACCTACTCATCACCACCAGGGACCTGCTCAACTCCCCGGACAAGGTGAGGGCTCAGGGGGAAGGGCGACAGAGGGATGAAAGAAGGGCGACGAGATGGTAGGAGGGTGAGAATATCCGCCGAGTACCTCCTTTAACCTCCACCTTCATCACTTCAAGCTTCGACTCCATCACACTGAGTTAATTGAAGATCTCAAATTCACGCGTGGATTTCCACTAACAGGCTCACACTTCACCTGATTTAGGGAGCCAGGAAGGAACAAATGTCAGGGTAAATTGGCAAGGATGGACAGACTCTCAGGATAAATAGGCGAGAAAGTAAATAATGTTAGTGTGAGAGGGCAAGAAACATGAGAATATCAAGGTATGGGAGATGAAGAGAGTATCAGATTTTATAAATGGGGAGAAAGAATAGGAGGAGGGGGTAGGAGAATGGGTTACAGTAACATAAGAGTGGATTGAAGGTTGAGTGGGTGAGGGGGTGGAATGCAGTGAAGTGAGAAGATCGGAAAAGAGAAATAGAAGAAAAGACTACTACTTGAAGTCAGCGACCACATAATGCTCAATAGACGTGGAAATGAAGAGAGTGGAAGGAGGGGGAATAAACAAGCCAGATTACAGCAGGCGAAGTTATACAGGGCTGAGAGATCGTGAAAGGGAGCCATTTGGGAAGGGAAATAAATTGTCAGACAACACACGAGATGATGGAGGGTCAAGTCAAAACCTGGAGGCCACAAAAAAGTTCATAACAATTAGTGTGGAAATACAAATATATGGAGAAAGCGAGAGAGAGAGAGAGAGCAAAGCAGGGCACCTGCGTCACAGATGCTCTGTGTAAAAAAAAAGCGAGGCGAAAAAGATTTTGGAAAAGTACAGAACACGTATCATAATAGAGAACAGGTAGTATGCAGATGAGTTAAGGTGTCAATGGGCACAAACAAGAATTGAATTAGTGACAATTCGATATTGAAATAGTTAAATTATAAATCAGAAGTAAAACGCTACACAGCAGCATAAAAAAAGGCAGATAAGCATAACATCCACACATCAGAGGAGGAGAGGAAGCTACTTCACGAGCTGGACACAATAAATTTCATTATATTGTGACAACATATCCTGATGCATAGTACTGCGCAGTGTACTGCGTAAACATATGGCAATGTTATGCATGTTAATAAATATGTGGCAACTAATGGACAGCTGGGATCCTGATAAATGTGTTCTTAATATACAAATAGGACATTTATGAGGCACTGAATGACTGGCCAGTATTACTGACACGCCTATAAAATTGGGAAATATAATCAGGAAACGGTTTTTTTCTGCACCATGAAAAAAAACCCACAAACATTATGGTAAGAAAAAAAACATAGCCACAGGAGCGTAATGGAAGTAGAGAATAACGATCAAACAAGAAAGACTAATAGCACGACTGTATATTCACGGACTCCAAAAAAATGTATGCTACAATAACTGAAGAGCAACTCGCAAGTTTTAAACACTCAGGGGCAGAAGGTAAAATGGCCCTATGAATCGAGGAATGCGTAAGGAAACGAAGACAAAGGGTCATGGTAAGAGAAGATGTTTCAGAATAGGAAAGAAGTAACATGCTGGGTCTCCAAGGGTCAGTACAGGCAAAGTTACTTCTTCCTAATATGTAAAAATGACCCATTAAAGGATTCTTAGTCATACGTATCCTCGTTTACTGATACCTTAAAGCAAATGAGAAGAAAAACAATGGGAGAGCGCAAGGAAAGGCTACGAGGTGGGCAAACCAGTTGTTGAGAAATGGCATTACCAGTTAAGTTTAAAGACTTATACTTAACTTAAAAGGACAACTCATCGCCTGCACAGCCGCCCCTGCAGACGAGGTCTAGAAGCTGTCGAAACCATCTCAACATGGTCTGTCAAGAAATATAATTTGTAAGATTATAAATTACCCCTAGGGGGTGTTATGTCAGCATATTTCATTCAATGATGGCTGACGACTTACTTGTGTGGACTCAATGGTCTGCATATCACCGGGGTTTATGATAAGTGACTAACTCACGACTTTATACTCAACTGCGCAGTCAATAGTAGTACATCACGAGTTAGAACACTTACCTGGGCATATGTATCTGACCTGTAATTACGCCCGGATATCCGATGAGTTGATTGAAGAATAGTGTTCTTTGAAGAATGTCGCACTACACTCTGTTGGATCGCAACACTTGTTGTTACACTGTTCATCAATAATTGTTCACACAATATCACTAAGTTGATCACACTTCTCTGTAAGTGTTTATCGTGTTTTGTGAGACACTTTGTCCACACTAACGCACAGATCAGTGTTCTTTGTTGGTTATCCTGGCATCAGTGTCACTCTCAGTAGAGTCAAAAGTAATCTGGCGACGCCACACCGCCCCAAGCCGTCACTGCCCTAGCACAAAAAAAAAGCTGACCTAGTACTCCTTGCTTCCTTGCCACTTCCTCGATGAAGCAAAGCAGAATGTTTGATTCTTGCTGTCTTAAGCATAGACAACAATGTCCACTATTTTTACCATGGTAATAAAGTGGGAGCAGGATTTTCCTTAATTGTCCTGCTAAGTAAGAGATGTACTGTCTCTTATAAAAATACACTTTGCAACACCGCTGCAAGGAGCAAAGGTCACTTGACTACGTCGCATAGCATCTGTGATCAATTACTCACTGTAGCAGTAAACAAGACGCTCGCCCCTTCTGAGAGGGCTTGGCCCCTCCGGGCTGAAAGGGGCTGAAGGGGCTGAAAGGGCTGAAGGGGGCTGATACCCCCCTCCTGGAGAAAATTTCTCCACACCAGTGGCTACAGGAATTCAACCCAAACAAGTGAGGGTCAGGCATATTTGAGAGACAAACCACACTAGAGGAGAGATCTGAGAGTGAACATGACACTGAACCTACTACCATAGATACATAAAAAAAACTACCTTACATTGCTAGGGTATACGAGGTTAGAGAATCTCAGAATAGTCTTCGTGTAACTTTAGAGCTCTATACACGACAAAAAACGCATCTGTTATAGAGTTAGCAGAGTCAGCATGGAACCCACACGTGGTTAACAATGTTTACAAACTCAAGAATGTTCACGAAAGTCAGGATAATCTCATAAGGCCACTGCAAAAGTCCAGGGTCACCAAACAAGGCCGCTGCACAAGGTCTGGGTCACTACACGATATCAGGATCTTCTCACAAGGCCACTATAAAAGTCCAGGGTCACCACACAAGGTTAAGGTCACCACACATGGCCAAGGTCACAACACATAGCCAAGGTCACAACACATAGCCAAGGTCACAACACAAGGACACTACACAAGGTCAGGGTCACCACACAAGACAACCAAACATGATGCAATCACAAGTTCTAAGTTTTTTTTGCCTCAGTCTTAGACCTCCATTACTTACCTGTGAAGCTTGAACAAAAATGCGGATATATTTCTATATAAAAAATGTATTTAAAATTATAACCTGGAAATTAAGTGTATGGTAAAGTTATGCATTATTTTCAAATCACAGAATTTGTAGGTTCGAATCCTACCCGGTCTGTGGTTTGTTTGTAATCATGTTACGATTTCGTCAATTATGTATAGTTATTTAATATCCATTTAGCAAAAACACACGTCTAGAAAGAACTTGGGTAGTGAGTTGAGACAGTATACAAGGCAGCCTACGGGATTACTTTGTTTCAAGGTTTTTTGCTTCGGTAGGATCATTAAAATTTCAGTTCACATGAACACGATCATCAAGAATACTTTTATTATTAATCAGGGAGGCAGGCAAAGTCTCAGTGCATATTTGCAGGAGATATTCACCTCTAGGTGTATATATGCCATGTTTTGTTTTAATATTTGCTCGGTATATTCACTTCTTGAGATGTGTGTGTGTGTGTGTATATATATATATATTATATATATATATATATATATATATATATATATATATATATATATATATATATATATATATATATATATATATACACCATGTTTATGTGAATATTTGTATGGTAGAGTCATAATTGAAAGAATTAAGAGTAAGACGGAGAATAGGATAGCAGATGAACAAGGAGGCTTTAGGAAAGGTAGGGGGTGTGTGGACCAGGTGTTTACAGTGAAACATATAAGTGAACATTTAGATAAGGCTAAAGAGGTCTTTGTGGCATTTATGGATTTGGAAAAGGCGTATGACAGGGTGGATAGGGGGTCAATGTGGCAGATGTTGCAAGTGTATGGTGTAGGAGGTAGGTTACTGAAAGCAGTGAAGAGTTTTTACGAGGATAGTGAGGCTCAAGTTAGAGTATGTAGGAAAGAGGGAAATTTTTTCCCAGTAAAAGTAGGCCTTAGACAAGGATGTGTGATGTCACCGTGGTTGTTTAATATATTTATAGATGGGGTTGTAAGAGAAGTAAATGCGAGGGTCTTGGCAAGAGGCGTGGAGTTAAAACATAAAGAATCACACACAAAGTGGGAGTTGTCACAGCTGCTCTTTGCTGATGACACTGTGCTCTTGGGAGATTCTGAAGAGAAGTTGCAGAGATTGGTGGATGAATTTGGTAGGGTGTGCAAAAGAAGAAAATTAAAGGTGAATACAGGAAAGAGTAAGGTTATGAGGATAACAAAAAGATTAGGTGATGAAAGATTGAATATCAGATTGGAGGGAGGGAGTATGGAGGAGGTGAACGTATTCAGATATTTGGGAGTGGACGTGTCAGCGGATGGGTCTATGAAAGATGAGGTGAATCATAGAATTGATGAGGGAAAAAGAGTGAGTGGTGCACTTAGGAGTCTGTGGAGACAAAGAACTTTGTCCTTGGAGGCAAAGAGGGGAATGTATGAGAGTATAGTTTTACCAACGCTCTTATATGGGTGTGAAGCGTGGGTGATGAATGTTGCAGCGAGGAGAAGGCTGGAGGCAGTGGAGATGTCATGTCTGAGGGCAATGTGTGGTATGAATATAATGCAGAGAATTCGTAGTTTGGAAGTTAGGAGGAGGTGCGGGATTACCAAAACTGTTGTCCAGAGGGCTGAG